AAGCTTAATCACTAATTATTCATGACTGCAAAATGTGATTTTGTTTGTCAAGCTAACTGCTGTGAGTCATTTGCTTGCTCTGAGTGGAAGAACATGATCAAGGCATTGATACTTAACTTAAGCCAGTATTTTCTTAAGTGTGTGGAATTATGTCACCAAAGAATGTGAGGAGTTGGTCCATGTGACAGTTTTCTACAATTTTACCATAATTTCTGAATTTGTGTACTCAATTTGTATAAATTGATTGAATCTTTAGGACTGTGTTGCAGAACAAAGCTATATGTTGTTTTTCTCATAGAAATTCAAACTTATGAAGGAAAAGAAAATCAAATCCATACGAAGGCCATGAATCAAGCTATAGGCCAAAATCCAGAAATCTATAGTGGTCTGTGTGCCTGTCCATTTGAAGGCAACAAAAAAACCTGATGGTTCACTCTCATAGCATTGTCTTGAGTCAGGGTTGTAGCTGAACTCTGAATATTCTGATATTCACCCAGGGCTATCACAGTAGGATTTCTTTTAAAACCAGAGAAGAAATCAAGCACAGACGAGGACCATTATTTGTAAAGTTTGTCTGACAAAATCTTCATATCCACTGGTAAAGCTCTGCAGACTAATGTGGTGTACCCGAACTGAGCAGGTACAAGTGTACCAAGACTTTTTCATACAGCAGAGTGTGTAGCACAGGGCAGCAGTGATGCAGCAGTGCTGAGTGTTCATCCCTGGCTTAGGGACACTGCAGAGTGGGGTAAGTGCTGTCACAATTAGCTACTAAGCCATTGGAAGATGACTTCTGATGACAGAAGATGTTGCCTTCCTATTTCTAATGGCAAAGTGACAAGAGGGCATGACATGGAGAGCTGCAGCCCCTTCAGACACTAGAGCAAAATACACCCCAATGTCCCAGCATGCGGTGAGGTTGGAAGGTAATGATATTTCCTGCCAAACCAAAAGGTTTTATATGACTCTGGTTGATGACATAGTCATATATAGTCATGTAGCTTGGACCAGTTTCTGTGGGAAACTCACACATTTTGTTTTTACTTGCTCTCTTTCTGATGCACCTTTGGACATGAACAGTGGGTTTAGCACAAATCTTACTTACAGTAAATTATGTAGATCAGAAATAAAGTTACTGCATCTTTCAGTTTCTCTGGTACTCTGGGAATAGCCCCAGCTTTCTTCTAGAACTGATTTTTTGGTCACGTGAGAGAAATAGAGCAGTTTAAGTGAGTGCTGAGATGTTTTAACCCAACACACTCCTCAAGGGAATTGAAGAATAGAGGCACTGAAACACACACAACAGTCCAGCTCTCAATTTGTTGAAACACTGCAGGCTAAGTCTGTCTGAAGTGGCATGTCATTCCACTTGACTCATCAGATGACACTGTCAGTCTTTGGTAGAAACAAAGGAAGTTAAAGCACCGTAAGTGTTAAGAGCAAACAGACCAGCTTCACAATTAACATGAAGCCTAGTAGAGTCCATCATTGGTAAAATGCACATATAATGATTAAAAATGGAAAAAGGTTTGATTCAAACTTCTGGATTTAAAATTTAAATTTGAGTTAATTTTTCATGTCAAGATTTTTTCCTTCACCAAAGTTCAATAAAAATGCCTGTTGAAACTTAATAACACACAAAAGCTCATCTGTTCATTGATTACACGTTTTTTATGAAGGGCAATTAGTTGTACTGGTTTGTTTTGGGACAGCCACAGACATAAAATATTCTACTGCAAATGATCTTAACATCTGTTTTTATAATTTTTACCCCACAGTTCCAGCAGTCAGTGATGTGTAGAATTGCCTAAAAGTTTTGTATGGAAATGTTTTGTAAGTATGGGTTTTGCATAATGAAAGACTTCTCTTTCATACAATATGGATAAAGGGCCTTAGATTTAATAATAGTACAGAACATGAATGGGCTTGTTAATTGAATTTATTGTGGGGCTATTTTATTATATAAATCTACTTAGTTTCAAAATGTGTAAATCCAAGCTGTGTTATTACATGTTTGTTGACTCACTTTATTTTCATTAATTTACTGGATTGAAAAATCTCTGAGACATCCAACAAAAGAGATGAGAATAAAAAAATAATTAAACTCTTGTCATTTATAGCATTGTAATGAGCTCTTTTATAATGATAAAAGCACCATAGTTTTTCTCAGAACACAAATTAGTGTTTCTTTATGATAACTTTTATAATGGCAGTTACATATTTTTTCCTCTGAAAAGGCCTATTGAATATTCCACAAGTAACTTTGGTATCAAATTTCTCTTGTCTTTTGGACTTTTCCCTCCACATGATGTCTTCCTGACCTTATCAATCTGTCTGCTATTTGTAACTTCCAGATATCAAATTTACAAATGTGGGTCCTAACTATATAAAAGTAATAGAAGAATTTTCTATGAAATGCTTGTTTATTTCTCAACATCATTCAAAGTCTATTTATGAATTGGATCAAGTTCGTGTTTTGGAGCTGTTCCCTGTATTTATAAAGGCACTTTTATTCATTCAAAATACTGTGGGTGCGTGTGAATCCCAGTATGTAAAACTGTCCAACTGAATGAAAAAAATTCTTAAAGAAAATTGGAAATTTTCATTGGATATTCTAAGACTCGTATCTTCCTGCACATATATTTATATACAACGCTTTCCCTTTTAAAAAAAAAGGGACTCTTTATTTCAGCTCATTTTTATTCCATATTGAATATAAATTCTGATTTAATGACATTTGGAGATAATGTGCATCAACAGCTTACAGCCCAGAAGAACAAATGTGCCCTGGGCTGCACCAAAAGCAGTGTGGCCAGCATGTTGAGGAAGGTGATTCTCCCCCTTTGCTCTCATGAGACCCCATTTGGAGTGCTTCATCCAGCGCTGGGGTCCCCAGCATAACAGAGATGTGCACCTGTTAGAATGAGTCCAGAGGAGGATCACTAAGTTAATCAGAGGGTTGGAGCATCTCTCCTATGAAGACAGGCTGAGACAGTTGAAGTTGTTCAGCCTGGAAAATAAAAGGTTCTAGAGAGGCTTTACAGAAAAAAAAAAAAAAAAAACCCAAACGAGAAATTTTAAAATGCAGATAAACTTTTTCCATCTCCCTTCTGAAGAATATTGGTTGAAATTACTGTCATCAACACTACTTTATGATAATTGCCAATTCATGCTGAGGCAGTCTTCTGGCATACAACATTTCTGTACAAATGGTTCAATTTTAGAAAAGACCTATCCTACTGAAAACAGGATCTTTCTCAAGTAATGAGTGAGAAATGAGACTAGACAGTGCTAGCTGCTCTGCCAATAATATGATCAAGAGTATTATAACTAAATGTAGTCTAGAAAAGCATTTACTGAGGTAAATTATACAAACTCACAATTCTGTTGCTGTATTGCAATGGTGTATTATAATGTTTCTCAGAACTCATAGTGTCTTCCTCCAATAAAAAGAGTTTAGGAAATAATTTGTTTGAAATACCTTTAAAATAGTTAAAATAGTTACTCTTTTGAGGAAATGTTGGGACCAGGAAGAAGAGACAAACAAATTATTCTACTGCTTTAATATGAAGTAATTCTATGTGTGTTCAGGTTTACTGCCTGCTATTAGACACTTGACACAACTCAGACAATGTACTCTTTCCAGCCAGGTTTTCTGTAGGAGCAGTTCTAGTAATACCATGATCTTCAGAAAGAAGTATATGATTTTCACTGTAAAAAGTAAAATCTGAAATTTAGGTATCAAGAACATAAGACAAAAACTTCCAAAACATAAACACTTGGACCGAAGTTTTTTTACTACTTTAGGCTACTTTAGTACATTTCCACATATTGAAATGCTATCATAGGGCTAATGGCATGAGGGGTGAAGGTTGACACTTGGATTCCCTGGTCTGCTTTGCTATCAGGCATCTTGTGCCAACTCTGAGCCCAATCTAGAGCAGAAAACTAATTTTTAAAAATTAGGAAAACAGTCTTTTGTCACAGTAGTGGAGCAATAGTAAAGAATATAAAGAACTAAGGAGGCATAATTCTGAGATTTAACAAAACACTCCTTTGCACTCTTCAGTGTACTGCAGTGGAATGTGGTCAGTCTTTCAGCAGCTCATGACCAGAGAAGTGGAGGTTATTTGCTAATTTGAATTATTCAATGTGTCATAGGGAAATGCAATTATTAACTTCCCCCCTCTCTCCCTGTGGCATACTCAGGTCAGTTTGCCTCTGTCATTTTATACAGCCGTGTCCCGGTGGTGCTTGTCTCTGCTTTTATGTAAAGCAGCAGTTGACTGAGAGGTCAGGACTCCTCATGTTCTTTCCTTCAGTGGCAGCCCTACTTAATTTTGGCTGAAATTGGTGGAAAACCTCCTGCTTACTTCAACAAGATCAGGGTTCATCCTGGTTGGAACATTAAAACTTATTTCAGAGCATAAAGGAACTGAAGAGATAGTGGCAGATGGTGGGGGATGAGCCTGCCTAATCCCAGTTTGGTGCATTTATCAGGAGTATTGCATAATGTAAGTGTTTCACATAATTTAAATAGGAATTCATATTAAATACATGAAGAAAACTTGCTATTGCTGTTATTTTTCATGCTAGTGGACATCTTGCTATCTATAAAGCATCTGTGCATGATTTTTTGCCCCAAAATATTAATTTATTTATGAGGAAATTTTATTTCATAAAACTTCTCAGCAGTGAATGCAAAATTAGGGCTGGGCTTCTTTTACTGTACAGCAAATTTCTTGAGTGCCTGGAATTAGATAGCTATAAAAATGATATGGGTATATATCTCACAGGCAGGACTTTGTAGATGCTTATGAGCTGTGGGGGAAGATCATCTTTCAAGATGTGTTGTCCTGTTTCTCTCTGCTGTCCTATTTCAGTAGCAATCCTACTCCTGGGCAACAGGGGAAAAAAAATCCATGAAGCTAAGGAAGTTAATGGATAAGAAAGAAAGGGTTCAAGCAGACTGTAAAAGGTGTTTCCTTTTCTTTTTCTAGAAAGAGTCCTTCCTTCCTGAGTCTGGCTGGAGAAGTCTCCCAAAGCACAAGTCTCTGGTGTGGTGAGTACTGAACACCTTAGAGATGTCCAAAGGAGCTTCCCACAAAAAAAAAAAAAAAAAAAAAAAAAAAAAAAAAGAATTATCCAAAGAATTTAAATGAGATCAAGGTGTTTTCTGGAGCGCCCTCTGGGCAGGCAGTGGGTGGGGAGATCCCACTGATGCAGAAGACATGGTTTGCAGCTGGCACAGGCAGTTTTTGAGGCTGCTCACTCACTGCTGGAAATGGGCGTGCAAGAAAGAGCAGCAGTGTGGGCTTGGGGGGTCTCACAGCCCCTGAGACATTTCTGAGGATTTGGTTCAAGTCATTCTAATCTAGTACAGTGTCATGACATATATGCTGCTTTTAAGAACAGAGTTTGAATCTGATACAGGCCATGCCCTGTGTTAAAGTGTCTTTGGTGGCCAAGGCCACTGGGGCATTTCAGAAAAGCCAAGATGAGAACAGCATGTAGGAAGAGTGGGATCCTGGGACTGGTTACATGCTTTTTCCTCATGTAATACAGTGTCTCAGGCACTCCTTGGGAGACCATGGCAGCTGGACTCATACAGATAAGCTTACAACCAGTTTAAGGATATTTTTGCATAGTCCGTGTGATCATCACAACAGTATTTAAAACTAATAGTTCATGGGCTATGTCTGAACTATTTGGCATAGAATTAGCATAACCAGGCATTCAGCCAATATGAAAATATACGAAAATTTCCATTGTGCAATTTTCCAGCTGAAGATTAGCAAGATTAGTAGCAAAATTTGCACTTCTTACTGTTGTTTACTGATACCTGTGACTGTTGGGCAATACAGTAACACATCTGCTAAAGAAATGGAAAACATTCAAATGCTATCAACTTTGTTGATAGCCATATGGGTTATATTTACTCAACTGGCTTATATTCAGCTTGTCATTATTGTTAAGTATTTTGCACAGAACATGATATAAAGGTCACTCAGACTAGCTGGATTTAAAAGGTAATAAGGAAAACAACCTTGTATTAATAAATAATAATAATTCAGTGTGTGCAATCAGATCCATTTTTTCCAGTTACCAATAATAGTATTTTGTAAGCACCAATAAAGAGGCTGATACCCCTCATTTCATGCAGAGGAACTGTAAAGATTTCCAGCACCATAATGCTCTTGAGTGCATTGTGAGATGGAGACTATTTGTGCCTGCAAGTGGTTACACAGGCATTAGCCCAAAGGAAGTGACATTTCATTGTTCTGTATGCTAAACACAACAGACATTATTCACACTTCTTCAAAGGAATAAACATAAAACTGGTTCTGGAAAAAAAAAAAAAGTATTTGAGATAACTTATGAATTCTGTTAGTAACTTGTGGTATAGACACTGCTCATCATTCTGAAAATCTGTTTTGACAAGACTTTCTGAATTAGGAAAAAAAGAGATAAACATGAAATTTAATAAATGTTGGGAATTTACTTAATAAACTTGGGAAAAAACCTGACTAGTTCATTTAAGATGTGCAGTGTCAGAAAAAAAGCTCACAAGAAATCTGCAAAACATTATGTCTAAAAGACAGAAATCACTTAAATGTATGCTACATTGCAGCAAAATACATAATCTAAGTAAGGAATTATTTAATGATTTTTAAGACTACCTTTCTGAAAAAATAAATACAAGGAGCTATTTGGGGCTTTTTTTGTTTCTTTTGGGGTTGGAAGGTCTTGCATATAGAACATACAAACATGCTTTGTAGCAACATGCAGAAAAAAATTACAGATAAAATGAATTTAACAGCCCCTATCTCAACCATAAATATGAAAAGGTAAAATCTACTGCAAATTACATAGAAATTTATTAGAAATATATGTATTTGGTGAGAGTTGTTTTGTGGTTTTTTTCTGAAGAAAGAAAGAGAAGAATTTTATACTTGAAGAGAACAGTCCAAGACTTGCTTCATTTCTCCCAGACACTCTGAAAGTGTTTTGGTTTTATAGAGAAATACTTGGCATATGAATCAATTGACCATACATCCTGTGCTTTTTGAATGCCCTGAAATATCTCAGTTGCTCAGCAACATATAACAGTCTGTAACTCCTGTTATAGATTTCTCCCCTTCTCTCCAAGGATGGATCTGATGCCCAGGTCTGACACAGCAGCCTGTATTGCAAAAGAGCTGTAGAAATGTAAGAGCTGTAATAGGAGGATAGAATCATTGAGATGGCAGTATCCATAGCTTGAGCAGATGGATGCACTCATCTATTGAGCACTGGTAGGAAGTAAACAAGGTGAAAAATGGAAAGACCAAAATTCTGTTTATTTACCTGAATATAACCTTGGCAATATTAATAAGTGAACCCATAAGGAAAGTCATCTCAGTCTAAAATGGATTCTGTGATGACAAGAACCAAATGTGCTGTTTTAAGATAAAAACATGAGCTTGGAAAATGCAGCAGGGGAACAGAGTTTGCAGTCCTCTGGAGTGTACACATAAAGGTCTGGTTCATGACTCAAAACCCATGCACATTCTTCAGAGCAGCTCATTTATTTATGAAAATAATGCACCATACAATGTATCCAAAGAGGCTTTCCTAAATACCACTCTTCACTGATTTCAGTTGGGTAAAGCCAGTGCCAAATGTGGATATTTTGTTCATTTAACCTTTACAGCAGAAAATTTTAAGGCATTGTCCCTGATTTAAATGCAATAGCAGAAACACTCAGAATTTGACAGAAATTTCTAAAACTAACTGTAACATGTAGCCCACATACACAACTAACATGAAGGACAAGTTTACAAAGCTTTGGAATCATTCTGCAATTTTATTAAATCAGTATGATTGCGATATATGCAGCATAGCCATCCTGTGTCTTGAGATCTCTGCTGATTGGTGCAGACCCTGCAGAGCCCTCAGTGGACAATCTTGAGAGAATTGCCTGCCAGGTGTGAGCAATGACTTGAAGTTTTGCTGCTTGGGGTTCACCTAAACTGAAAATTTAAGAGAAGAATATTAAAGGTAAAAAAGAAAAATGGAAAATTATTAATATAGCAGCTTTTAGATAGCTAAACAGATGCAATTATTTCTATAAAAGCCCATAAATACATATTAGAAGACATCAGAATAGAACAGCTATTTTAAAATTAAGAATTTTATGTCATATATAGTTGTCAGGATTTCTAACACAATAAAAGTGCTTTGAGAACTGTTTTCATCAGTAAAAAAAAAACAAACCAAACCAAAACAACAAAAAAAAAACCACATTGAAAGAAAGCCCACATAAATAGGTTAAGAGCCCTAATAAGCCCAGATCTGTTAGAAATCACATTGCATTTTATTTGGCCTATTTAAAATTCCAAGTGCTTTTGTATTCTATTAGCTGCCAACATTATTATAAATTTGGCTGAATACTCTAGGCAGTAGACAAAATTTTTAAGGTGGAAAAGCCATGTTTAGGTTTTCTTCTACTGCTATTGTCATTAATTGACAGTAATGGTCTTTCAACCTAATTATTTGGAGTAATTTTCTGTATTTCTATGTTTTCTTAACTGAGAAATCCTTTACATGGTTATCTTCCATGGATTCTACTAGAGTTTTATATTTGATGATAAGAAAAGCACTTTCTGCCAAATATATTTCATGTGGAATTTGCCATTTCTTTTGCTGAAGGATTTTTATTTTGTACTCTAACTTAATTGAGAATCCTTTCTGCCTTTACACATCATCCATAAGTTAAGTAAGGCTAAGAGATCTAGACACCTTACTGAAAATAAAATATTCATGATCATCCTGGACAGAACAGCACTTCATTGACCAGTCTTATCTCCATTTCTTGTGTATTGTGTATTCTTGTGTATTTGTGGATCACCATGGTACCTCTTCATATGTTTTTTCTCTGGGCATTTCAATAAACTGTCCTTTCCTCCGTCCTGACTTCATTTTAGCTCCTAGTGCTGCTCTGCTTTCAGCATGCATTTATGAGTTTGTGACTACCAACAGGATCCAAACCCCGCACTGCCCTTTCTACAAGCTCTCGTTTTGCCTTTAGCAAGCCCAGAAGCTTTCTTGCTTAAACCTAGTTTTGTCGTAAAGGATGCCTATCTTTTCATTTTCAGTTGCACACATAAATTTTGGGTTAGTAATCTAATTAAATAAATAGGAAAAAATTCACAACAAACGTTTGTGATTTTGGTATCTTTTTAGCATTTCTTTTCAAAGTATCTACAGTTGTGGAAAGCTAACAATTATAGGCCTCACCCCTTTCCCTTTTTTTTTTTTTTTTCCTTCCTCCATGGGAAGAAGACAATCAGTTCTATAAGTTTTCTGGTGCAGTTTGGTAGAGTGCTAGTGGAAGCAAATAGAGAGGAATGATGTTTGGAGCTTCCAGAGCAGGAACACCTCGTTGGAAATTCTAACAGGACATAGCGATGAAAAAGATTTCTACACCAAAGATAACTGTGTAGCTACGTAGAGCAACTGAAGCAGAAGAGTTATTATCATCATCTCCATTCTCAGAAAAATTGGAAGAGCTGCTGTGCAATTGTTTCTGAGACCGAAACACTGAAAACATATGACAGACCGTGTTAAGTACCCATTACTGCTCACTCGGCATTGTATATCAGATTAGTAAAAAATACTTAATTGATGTGATCGTGTCCCTCACTCAGAAATCCATCTGTATCTACTGTTGAAAGGAGAGACCTTAACACCAGCCCCAGAACAGTTTCTGCATTTCAGAGCACCAGCAGAGAAGCGCAGCTGAGTACCTCATCAAGATAAGTATGAGCATATTTCATGAAGCACAATTCAGTGGGTAGCCTGGTCACACAGTACTCAGGAAATTTGAGTACAAAGCAAATAATAAAAAGTTCAGATGCTGTCAATTTCAGTATTGCTTAAGAATATAAACTGAATATTTCATGAAAAAGCAAAGCTAAACCAGAAAACCTCTAATCAATTTCTTCCACAAATGCTGTGGCATCATATCAATTATATAAATGCTCATCTAGTGACATTTTAATCTGCCAAAATAAATTTATTTAATCAGCCTTGAATAAATAGCCCCATGGAGGTTTTGTGTTGGTTTGGTTTTTGTTTTTTAATAGTTCCTTCCTTATCCTAAACTGTGTTATCAAAATGACTTTGAGTGCCTAATCAGACACATCAGTCAAGCACCTTCAAGCACGGTGCCACCCCAAGTATGGATACCCCTCACTCAACAGCCAGCTGCAGTCAATTGCAAGTCCTTCAAAAGAAAAGATGCATGTGTAGAGGAAGAGGAGAATTTAAAAGTCAAATTATGGCCCTGACTCTTACAGCTGATCAGGCGAAGCCCTGAAGAATGAGATCTGATTATAATCACAGTCCTAATGTAAAGCTGAAGTGTAATGAGGGTATGCTGAGGGCAATGAAATCTATCCTGCTCTATTTGGGCTTAACAGATGAAAAAAGAAACAGGATGACTCAGTCTCCATGTCTTTTTTGGGTGCAGGGAGAAGAATGCCTCCCCAAAGTAAGGTTACCTATTAACTGAACGAAATGTCGGCTTGCTTTATTCAAAGTACTGGTTTTAAAATGACATTTTGGATATAGAAAAAGAGATAGGGATTTATTGTTAATTACATGAATATTTCTTTTTCATTTTACCCTCTACTTTAACTCGGAATGGGGACAGAGTAACTGAGAGAGTAAAAGGAGGAGGTATATTCAGAAAAATTCTATGTACTTGAGTTTTAAATACTTGATATTTAAAAGCAGGGTTGTCCATTCAATTCTGGATTTTATTGTTGCATTAACACTGCATATTGAGTTACTACTTCTCTGTGACTCTTCTGACTTACTCTGTTTTTACTTTTATTGAGATGCATGTCTCCCACTGGCACAGGAAAAATGAAGATTTTCTTTTATTATTTCTTAATTATTAATTAGGGAATTATTATTTATGTTAGTCCAGCAAACTAAAAACATTAGGTCTAGGCCAGCAACAGAAATTGTTAGCATTAAATGGAGGCACAACATATAAATTAGCCCTGCTCCAGAAAGTTTGCAGTCCAGCCAGAAGACAAGAAACAGGCAACAGCAGATGAATAACTGAGGCAGTAATTGCTCATGCAGTTCAGTGTGCAGAAAGCACTGCTTATCTGTTATCACCAGTTTTTTAGGTATCCTGGCAGAAGGCATTTTTCATGGGTTTCAAGGCTATTTGCCATTGGAACTAATGAGTGTTCAGAAAAACATAACTGAGAAAAGATTTAAAGAAGGAAGGGTTTTCCTTTTTTTCCCCATAAAAGTATTTTTATAAAATGTTGGTCTCTTTTTTGCCCCTCTCCTTTGAACAATATTTGTGCCAGTATTTATAATAATGGGAGATTATGTAATTTTTGAGAACCCTGACCAGAGATATATATGTTCTTTCTACTAGTCATCTTGCTGATGGCATATTTTTTTATCAGCATTTTTCCAGTCTGTTGTTCAGAATGTACCAGGTGGATTTTAGTGCCAGCTGAAAGACATCTTTTGAAATTATTTATACAGGAAAATGTACTGTTAAACACAGTGAGGCATAACAGCAGTCAATCAGCCACCTACAGGGCTGAATTTATGTCCAAAGCATTAGGAACCTTATAGCCTTCCCACTCTGCTATGTATCTTCAGGTGAGGGAAAACTGGGTATAGTCACAAATTTGTAAATATACAAGTAGTATTAGGCCAAAAGTTGTGTCTGAATAGCATTGTCTTCCTTCAAGAAATGTCTTAATGCAGCCCAGATATCCCAGCATGTTGTTAAAAGAGCGATCGATCAAATCCTGTAACCTGTCTGAATCCTTCACCATTCATGACTTGTTTGTTTAGGCTTCAAAAACACACCTTAGGGAAAACTCTTTCAAAAGAAGGGTTAAAAACATGAAATAAAGACATAGAATTTGCTGCTAATCTTCCATTAGCCTAGTTCAAAAAGTTTTCCTATTACTTGTAACTTCTTGAAAATAGTAAAATAATTTTACTTTAAAGCCTGGGGAGGGTCTGTCTACACAATAATTGCAGTATACTTTTGAAATCATGACACCCACTGTAAAACGAGTGTTCTGAGAAAAATCTATGTGTTTATTTGATCATTTGGGTTCTATCAGCCCATCCAGAGAGGTCCTATTTCCTATGTTTATTTTTTAAACCAAATTGAAGCAAATGATCCATCTAGGTTTTACTACATAAATTACTAGCAGGTATTAATAGTTAGTCTGACTTTTTCCTCAGGTAATGAGGCCATTGATTTGGAGTAAAAAAGATACTTATGCAGAAGTTCTAGATGTCCTGCAGCAAAGCTTAACCCACAGAAAGCCATCATTTGGATAGGAGCAATCAGTATTTCACCTTGGATAAATAAGGCTATTCACAACGCTTTTTTACACTGCTGTGCTCAGGGACATCAGACAATATATCTGTGGTCTTCTACAAAAGCTCTAGAAAATGTGGATAATGGGGTTGCTATAAGAACTGGTGAATCACTAACAGAGAAAAGATGTTTCTCATTTGTTTTCCCACTCCCAGTGCCAAGGAAACCTAATAGAGAAGTGGACATAAAAAGCATTCATTTTAACTAAACCACTGGATTGTTTTTGAATTTTTTCTCTTTGAAAGTTTCACCATGATGTTGCAGATGTGGATCTGACTGTAGCTTTGGCCTGTCTTTGCTGCTTTAGGGAAGGTGCAGAGTGGGTTCTGCTCCCCTCTTTATCTGTGTCTGCTCCTCAGACTGAAGATTTTTGTAAATAATTTGTCAGTCCCTTTACTGTCAGAAGAGAGAAGGTTTGTTATCTCAAGCTTTTAAAACCTTCATGCATACTCGTTACGTCATGGTCTTTGCCTATCTTTGGCGTGCTGCTTGAGGAAGTACAGTTGGTCTGGTACATTGATTTTTAGAAATATTTTCTTAAGAAACAGGACCATGAAGGTTAGTAGAGACTGCTGTGTGCTCATGATGCTTCATTCAAGAAATCTTTCTTAATAGACGCCTCATAGATAAGTCTTCAAATTTACTAGGCCACTGTGCTACCAAATAACATTCTTGGGTGGGAAAAACATGCAAAAGTCCTTTTCCTTTGTAATGTGTTCTTGAAAGTGAAAGTTTTATGGAGCATAAAAAAATTCTTAATCTAAATAATATATAAAGTATAGGATCACTATCAGTGCAGCACACTGAGAAGTTTCCATTCAGAACAGTGAAGTACAAGGTATGCGATTTATTCTTTCCCGATTTAGTTTTGAAATCTTTGAATGCAGAGATTTACTGACTTGTAACATTTATTTAATAGAGATTGTCTCTCCTTGGGGGAAGTAAGAACAAAGAAACATTCAGTAATAAAATAGTCAGGCAATTTCACCAATATCTGTCAAATTTGAGCATAAATTATATTTGGGGACTCAATACAAATAATAGTGCTTTGGTTCACTTACTTTGCAGAAAGTATAATGTCATTAAGCTAACCTTTTCACTGAATAACTGAGTATTGTATCAGATATGTTGTATCACATTAAAATATTACATAAAAATATTAATTTTGTGAAATGTAAGATGTCAAATGACAAATGTCTGCAAAATGTTTAGTTTAAGTCTTTGTGCACGTCTCAGATAAGCAGTTCAGTTCAACAGGTTGATAAGCTGACTTCCCACAGGCATGTGGCAGAGCACACCTGCAGATGAGCTGGCCTTATCTGTAGGAAAAGTTGTTGCTTGTGATATCCTGACCTAATGATAAGAGAGAATTATTTAGAAAACGAAACCATTTTTCTAGGAAGATGAATTTCATCTCAGAAATACTTCAGTTCTACCCTAGACTGTATAACTTGTATAGCTCTACAGCTTTTGCACATTTGCAGATTTTGGGGCTAGGATAGGTTTTAGTGACTCTTCATAAGTCCATGCCTGTGATCCTCTAAGAATTTGCTATTTTATATTTAGATGTTTAAAGTGCAATGGCTTTATAGTTTGAAAAATATCGATGGGGAGAAAAAGACAATAAAAACAAGAGAATAGAATTGCTGTAGTAAATAAGACATAAGAACACAAGGAGATGACAGGATAAAGCAGAACAATAAAAGGTGGTTTTGTCACTCATAGCCTGTAGTCCTGAATATGCAAACCTGAGCATGGTGGGGCCTAATTTATAATTCTGATAATTCATTTTATTAAATATAACCATTTCAGATGTTGCTGCTTCAGAGTCAATCTTATGAGAGAGTGAAAAGTGTCGGTTTTCTAAGATATAATAAGCTAAGTTTAAAAAAGACATGGAACCATTTCAAACTTTCCTCCTAATATCTTTGAAATTGTAGAGATGCACTATTCTTCCATCTAATTTTTAAACAGAGAAAAAGAAAACAAATAAACAAAACCCCCCATGCAATTATTCATTTAAATATTGATTTCTTATTACTTTTTGAGGTTTTTTCCATGTCTCAGGACACATTCAACTCATCAGTAAAAATCTGTCAGTGTGGTGCAAAACAGTTCTTGGATTCTTAATTTGATAGAAATTTGATGAAAATACTTTTTTTTGAAAAATACTTTAAAGAAAAGATCTAGAAAAGGAGGTAATCCTTCTTCCATTGAATATGTTTCTGTATTTCCAGGAAAGCTGACAATCATGAGGGTTCAAAATTTGTCTGAACACTTCCCTCCAAGTGTGGCTGTCCTGTCACTAACATTACAAAATGTGGCAATTGCAAAAATTGTATTATAAAGTTACAAAAATTTTCTCTTCAGTTCTCAAATATGGAATTAAATGTAATCTAACCCCATGATCACAGTTCCTTTTTACTTGTCAGCACTAAGTTGTTGCCAATAAAATAATAGTCATCAGCATAATCTGATGAAAACTTCAGAGGTGACCTCCTAGTAAATATTTTTCATCTTAGAAAGTATGCTGACTGTATAGCCTCTTGTATCAGAAACTCAAAGTTATCACTGCTGCTATTCAGATTATGAAATCAATGTGCCAGAAGCACACTATCCATTACTCAGAGATGGTAATAGTTTTACATGGTGCTTAGAATTTATTCAGTTACTTCTCTTTGTAATACTGTAGGTTTTACATCTTAGTGGGTGTGGACATCTCACTGCCCATTAAACTTCTTTTGCATCAGTCTTGAATACGGAGCCCACAGATCTGGCTTTCTTGGAATGTGAAGAGCCTGGGAGTCCTGAGATTTTTGTGAGTTTCCTTTTTTTTGTTGTTGTTTCTAGTTGTTTGGATTTTTGTTTGGTTCTTTTATTGTTTGGTTATTTTTTGGGTTTTTTTGTTTGTTTGATGATTTTTTTAGATTTTAATATAGACAGCAGATGTAATCCTGTGAAAAATAATTGATGTTTAAGTGATAACAGAGTGCACGAGAGTAGAAAAAGAATCATTTAGCAAAATATAGCTGTGGCAACAACCAGCACCCTATTTATCACCATCTAGTCAAATGAGACATTTAATTTTGAGCAACTTCAACACTATAATATGTCAAGACACTGGTCAGGCAAAATTATATGCTTCTTTATTTTCCTACTACCATTATGGTGACTACAGTTATAAACTCCACACAAATTTCACTTTAGAGTGATTCCACATGAAACTGTAGCCTCTAATCCTTAAGCTGAGAGACCCCTTAGACATCATAAATGCTGCTGTACTTCCTTGAAAAACTGTTGCACTTTCTTGACCATGGATTGAGATTGCCATTGAACTATCTCTTTCATATCAGAATAACTGGTACATCCAAAAACGTGCTTTCAATTTCCTCTAGCCAAATTGTGCTCAAATATCAAATGCATAGACAAGCAATTAATCATACATTCAGTTATTACATACACATATGTGCAAAACAAGTTCAAAAATTACATTCAGTCCTTGGTACTCTATCTTTAAATATGTCTCTTATGACTTCAAAAACATACAAAAAGGCAGCCATTAGAAATGTAGGCTCCTCATCTACTCAAAAGCACATTTATTTGCCACGCAACCAGGAAAATTTTATGGATGAACAATCCGACTTGAATTTAGCTCATCTTGGCCAGATGAAGGTATGCATTAACATTAGAGTGTGTATCATCATCTGCTGTATCACTTACAAAAGATTATTGTAAATAAATCACTATTACATAAAATAGAAAACAAAGACAGAAGTTTATCATTAAAGCCAAAGATGAATTTTGACATCTATATGAGAGGAGAAAAGGGATGACAGTGGGACACTGTGCAGATTCACAACAGTGTACAGATTCTAAAAACAATTGTACAGCTTTAGTGTCAGATCCTGTCCCAGGTTCTTTAATAATGAAATTTAAGTCTGCAATTATTCTGCTCTGCAGTACAGCACAGTCAGTAAAGGTTAATGCATGTAAACTTCACAGATATATAAGCTCAGTACACCCCTACTAAAAAGTTGAAGACTCAGGAGAGCAATTTGGCCCTCTGTGTTTTCCTTTGAATTTATGTTTACCTAATCTGTCCTCAACTTGTGATATATATGAAGGGTTTTCTTCTAAAACAAAAAGAACCTCTAATGGCTTGAAAACTTTTATCTTGTGGATTTTTCCTTTTTTTTCTTCAGTTAATGTCAAATTTTGTAATCTGAAAGATAATCCTGTCAACCATCTTAGTTAATTAAAAAAAGCAATAAGACAGGAGAAAAATATAGATATACACTAACAAAATGTACAGCATCTTATTAAGAAATAAAAAAATTAATCAGAAGTAAGAAGTTCATGTTAATCTTATATTTTTATTAAATGATTAGTTTTAAATAACCAAATCATTATCTTATAATAAAATAATTCAAATAAATTAGGTTTTGAACCTAAATACGAATTATTTTCTGTTAAATTTTAATTTTAAAAAATGGAGGAAGAGTGAATTTTCTTTCCATCTTATATATCTATTAGAATTCCTTTCAGCAGATTTTATCAAATTACTTTTGAAGGTCCTGAAAACACAGGCAAATGAAAAACTAATTAGACTGATGTGTGATGCAATGGTTCTGCGCCCATGGAGGAAGTACAAAACATCTGGACTTAAAAGGGTAATATCACATGAGTAACTCTGGCCAGTTCAATTTCCTTGATAAAAAAATACTTAGAAATTTTTTATGGAAATTAAATAGAAAGTTGAAAGCAATGTAAAAATAATATTATGACAGATTGAGAAAGGGTAATCAGCATAGCTGAAAGAAAAGTCTTCAAATTTTAAAGTGGAAACAAAGTAACAGATTAAAAAACCTATTTGTTTTCACAGATAGAAAAGGAGATCTTGTCAGTATCTTTATCTGAGCTTTTGGAAGTCTAATGCTGCTGGAGAACATTGGTAATTTCATGCCTATGTAACAAAGGTATAATCAACTAAGTACGTGGTACCTAAATTACAAACATTTGGACTTATTGGAACTGCCAAGACTTCAGTGCAAGGAATTCAGTTTTTTTCCCTAGCCGCAAAGCTTAAATGGCAGCACACAATTTCATTTTAAAAGACATTTTATCTGATGATGAGAAAAAGCTCTGGTATGGAAAGAAACCACTTTGTGCAGTTGTTGAAATGAAGATTGAGCAGTCCACACATGAGCAGCTTAAAAATCCTTGTTATTGAGAAAGTGGATTTTCATGTTTGGTTCTAGTATCAAATTAAATTTACTTTCCTAAAGCTTATGAAAAGTTTTCCAGACACTGCTGGCATCTCTACTGAAAGTGACATGTGCTACAAGCAATTAATGTTGCAATCTATATTTGAAAAAGGGACCTTGACAAACAAATTACTCTTTAAACTTTTAATTGATTTTTAGTACTTTAGTAACAAGCTGAGTGCAAATCACTGAAAGAATATTTTCAAGTCTGTAAATAGCTGAGTGATTCATTCTGAAAAAAAATAAAAGTGGTAAATGGGAAAGACTAACTTCCATTATTTTCTATTTTTCTATTCAAATAATTAAGTCATTCTATGCAATTAAATACGACAAACACTTGGAAAAAGTTTCATAGATGGTCAACAGAAGCATAAAATAATTCCTAGAAAACTATAATTCTGCATTTCCCTTAAACCCCTAAAGTTTACATAGATGTAAATAATAAAAAAATATTGTTCTTATAACATTTAATAAAAAAAAGACAGAAAAGACATTGTAGCAGTTCAAAACGTTTTTGACCACTAAATTAAATAGAAATATTCCATGTGATTTGAATAAATTTGGATCAATCCATGGCATTGTTTTCTCTTCCTTTTTGTCTATGTTTGCAATGTCATAACTCAAATGGAACTACCTCGACATCTTACTATTTGCCTCAATGTGGTACAGTAAAAGCCTGCAGTGCAGACAGATTCTGTTCCAACTGTTTTCAGGCCATAATGTCAAACTACGGATCTGATTTTAGAGATGTTCACATGCTTGTGTAACTTTATGAGTAAAGCTTTCTTCTGGGTAATACGGTTACTTAGGAAAATTTCCCTTCACAGTGAGGAAATCAAAAGAGAACTGGGTGAGCAATGTTCAGTTTACAATTGTTTATATTCAAAATCCATTGGGACACACTGTGAGCATTCTGCTGTAGGTGATGACCCTGGTTTGTGGAGGAGGTTGGATTAGATAACCTTCAGACGTTTCTCCCCACTACAGTTAGTTTTCAATTCAAATTTACCACCAGAGGATTCTAAGTGTGCTATGATTAGTAACCACAAAACATACAGTAAAGGTTAAAGAAATCTTCTCTTGGACATTAAGGAGAGTCTTTTGTCCTTATGCAATAAGGGATCTTATTGCAAAGATGTTTCAGGGCTTGCAGTTAAAATAATGAATGGACTTAATCAGTTTAAGTTTCTTTAGTTGGAGCATTCAAAGCTTTAAAAATTGTTAGAGATCTTGATAATTTTTAATAGACTTCTGAATATCATATAGTCCAGCATCCCTGAGTCTGTCAGCTTTGCCTTGATTTAAGGATTATTTATGTAAAAAGTACTTCTGTCTGCAGTAGGAGTTCTCTTAACAACTAAAATTACAGTCACTATTAGTCATCAAGCTCTGCATCAAGTACTAAATAAACAATAGCAAGGTCCAGATGAACAATTAAAAAAAATACATTTTGCTTTGATAGTCACAATAATCTTGCGGAATGTCTCTATCTCTTCATCTGTGACCAAATAAAAAAATCAATATTCTTTAAGAAATTATGTTTTTGGAATAAACTATTTTCTTATATCAACATTCCTACAGTTCTTTTCATTTCATGAGCAGATGGTCTACATGATCTGTGGTGAGTTCAGGTACCCAGCAAGTGAGTCCATATCTTGTCAGGTGTGGCAAGCTGGGTTCATAAATTAGAAAAAAACAAAACAAAACAAAGCAACAAAAAAAAAACCCAGCGAAATTAGGGAATAGAGAGGAAGAATAGGCAAGACAAATTGAGAATTATAGCAAATAATTGTAAAAGAATTGTGGAGAAAGTGGAAAGAAGAAAACAGAGGGCAGAAGACAGATAGAAATGGAGTGGATTTAAATATGCCAGAGATGGAGAAAAACCATTATTTCCAATATGGTGCTAAAAGGAAGTTAAAAAAGTCTGTCAGTAAGCACACAATGAAGTATTTTTCTGACAAGATATACTTCTGTCAGTAGTTAATAAAAATGCAGAATATCTCGCTTGTGAGAAGGTCACTCTGATATTCATAATAGCACAAGAAAATCTGTGCATGGCAAAGTGCTCTGTTATTAACAATGCTTTTTCTAAAGGACTCTGTAGACAGTTATGTATCTGCACAATTCTTAGCTGTAATAAGGGAGTAGCTGTATTCAAAGAACACAGCTTGACATTTATCTTCTCTGAAAAATAAAAAGATTGAAAGCAAGTAGGGCTGCTGTTAGTATTTTTTTTTTTTCTTTTGACAACATTGAAAGTCCTTCATGATTAGTTAGTGAGAAATTGAAGATCATTAAAAGGTCAAAAGAACTTGGATGGTCTGAAAACTAGGGGGAGCACAAATTGATGAAGAGCCTTGGAAGAAAATATTTTACAATTAATGTACTAACAAATAACTTTTTACTTGGATCAAAGAGATAAGGAAGCATAAATTGCCTTTCATTTTATTTTGAAAAAGTCTCTGTATAGAAAAGAAAAAGATCTGTCATGAATCCTCAAGTAATTTTACAGTAATGTAAATACGTGGTAAGAATAGAATCTCAGCCTTCATTTTGTTACAAAAGGTGACATTTCTCAAATAATAGATCAACAGACCATAAAACCTCCATCCCCGTTAGTCACTCACAAATTACAGAATATAAATAAATATTTTAAAGTGTCTAATGATAATTTTAGAGATTTTTCACTGCATAAACCTTCTTTGTATAAATATAAGCTCAACTACTTCATATTTAGATTGTAGATACAAATATGTTTTGACATTTTATTCTCTACAGTTTGCTTCAGGTTCATCTAATATAAAAGGGAAATGCTGAGATTTTTAGAGTCTTTTCTGCCTTATTGAAGCATTCTTCTTTCAGAGCCAAGGGAAATATATTTCTCATTTTGAACTTAGAGTTTTAACTCTAAGACTGGGAGTTGCTGAAAGTTTAAAATCCTTTAAATTAAATATTGTTAACAGAGAGAATAAGTTAAAACTAACTTGATTCATGTTGGTTGAGCTAGTGTATTGAAATAAATATGTAATAAGTCCAAATTTATAAAAATGTTAGATCAAGAATGCAACAAAAACCGACAATATAACTTTTTTAACATTTTTGCCAGTGGATTTCCCAAGAAAGTGTGAGGCTTGAAGAAACTTTTCTAAGCCAGTAATGAGTCAGAGAGCAGGATTTCCTCATGGCAAGAGTTTTTAAACTTTGAACTCAAGACTTCTCAAACATTTTCCTTTCATTTTTCTCTAACAAAAATATCAACGCTTCTCCATACGTGTCAGCTCATATCTTCATGAAAACAAAAAGCAAAGAAGATCAGAAGAGCAAATGATAGAATTACTAGATTCTTTTCTGTCCATTAAATTTATCTAGATCCTTTTTAAACCTGAAAATATTTCCTCTTTCCCTGAACACCTGTGACAGCATGCTTCAGATGTTTATGACCTGCTCTGTAAAATCATAACTTTGTTTCTGAATGACTACCTAACAGTTTCTAGCAATTTTCCCCAAGTTCCAGCACTGAAAGAATGATAACAGTTCCACTGTCATTTTATACAATACCTTCATGGGTCTGTAAATCTCTTATCATATCTTTTCAGGTCTTTCCTCGGTAAACTACAAAATGTCAGGGTCTCCTCATTCTCATGCTCTATTCCCTTCATCTAATTGTGCTTTCCTGCAGCATCTGTAGCTCTTAAATATGTTTCCTGACTAGACATAGACTAGAACTGAATCTGACACCAAGATGAAGATGCAAGAAAAATTTTTGTAGACGAAAAAATGAATTCTCCATCTGTTTTTCAGCACCCTACCTGAGGATAGGTAGCATTGTCACCGATTTTTTCAGATTCTGATGCATGTTGACTTGTTAATTTCTGAAAACTGTTGATGGCATCAAGACCTCAGCTGTAATTATTAGCTCCAAGTTAGACTTTAAAGGATGTTTTGTATTATTTTTTCTTAGATATATTGACTTCATTTTTCAGTACTGAGGTTGTTGCACTTTTTTTCCACTCAGCTTTCTGAGGTTCTTCTGAATTTCTTCTGCAACAGAGAAGCAATAACCTACCAAATATGGTTAAGAATATTCTGAAGGAGATGGATCTATTAGTGCTTTCCCTATTCCAGGTAATTGTGGAAGATATGCAACCCAGCTCCTTGTTAACATGCAGCTCTAGTTGATCATTAGTGGACAAGAGACTTTTATAGACAGGCTAATAATGACTAAGGAAGGAAAAATAAAGAATGGGCTAAAATACGACTTTAGAAAATCGGTGAAATAACTGTTTTCAGACTATGTTCAATACAACAGTTCAGTGAAAAGTCATGAAGTATCTCAGTCTTTATGGATTCAATTTTTCAAGGAATTGTGAAATAGGCTTCCACTTCTAAGTAGTTTTTTATTGGAAAACACCTACATAAAGTGTGAGAAAAAAGGACCCCAACAGCTAAGTCATACACATTGATTTTCTCATTCATTTATGGGGAAGGGGAAGGGGAAGGGGAAGGGGAAGGGGAAGGGGAAGGGGAAGGGGAAGGGGAAGGGGAAGGGGAAGGGGAAGGGGAAGGGGAAGGGGAAGGGGAAGGGGAAGGGGAAGGGAAGGGAAGGGAAGGGAAGGGAAGGGAAGGGAAGGGAAGGGAAGGGAAGGGAAGGGAATTCCCTGTCAGAAAATTTTGCTGGAAGAAACTCATTTTTATCATCCCTCTCCCTTCAAAACCTTCATTGACTTTTGTCTCTGATATAATTTACTATAAGTCTTGTTTCTACAGAAGAGTCTACTATTACTCTGTAATTCCAGGTACTAAATTTGAAAGAGTGTTTAATATTAGTTTACTGTTACATGATTTTATCATCATATCGAAGACCCATTTCATTTTTTTTGGTGTTATATTTAGCCTATCAGATTTTCTGCTAGATGATATGCTCTTGATCTCTGTAAATAAGCTGTTGGTTTTATTCATGCACCACCAGCGAAAATTTCTCCAAAGTATGCTAAACTGACCATGACTTGAAAATAACAATCCCTGATGGTCTGAAAGTGATCTCTCCAGAGACTAAAACCCATTTTGCTAAATCTTTTGTGGAAATGATGAACTCCTATAAAATGCTTTGCTTTTGCATAATATTGATAAGACATAAATTAATTCAAAGGACTCCTGCTACCTAGATAGGAAAATGTTATCTCTATTTTGCAGATGGAGAAACTGAAAAGGTGAAGAGGCTTCCTAAGGCCACCGAGTAAGGTAAGGATAGAGCTGGTGCTTCAACCTGCCAGTGTCTGGCTTCTAGTCTAAAATTATAAATGTCAAATATACTCCATGGTTAAAACATAGTTAGTGGTTAATATAACAGTAGATACATTTTGTTTGTAGAGAAATAATAAAATAAATATAAAATTTTATACTAGTCAGTTACTGTCCAACATTTTAAGCAGATATTCAAATTGTGGGAGAAGTAGCACAAATCTTCCTTCCTTCCTTCCTTCCTTCCTTCCTTCCTTCCTTCCTTCCTTCCTTCCTTCCTTCCTTCCTTCCTTCCTTCCTTCCTTCCTTCCTTCCTTCCTTCCTTCCTTCCTTCCTTCCTTCCTTCCTTCCTTCCTTCCTTCCTTCCTTCCTTCCTTCCTTCCTTCCTTCCTTCCTTCCTTCCTTCCTTCCTTCCTTCCTTCCTTCCTTCCTTCCTTCCTTCCTTCCTTCCTTCCTTCCTTCCTTCCTTCCTTCCTTCCTTCCTTCCTTCCTTCCTTCCTTCCTTCCTTCCTTCCTTCCTTCCTTCGGATTATTTCTCTTGCAATAATTATGTTTAAAATAAATTTTTTTTTTTCTGGCAACATGTGAAAGGGCAGAATTTAACTGAATTACCTAGAACCTACTCTGTGTAGAACATGATGAGTTGCAAGAGCCTTTTATCCAATGCTGCATTCACAGAAGCAAGGCTTACTGTCACACCAGAGACAACCCAAATGCCCCTCAGGAAGATCCTTAATCATTGGTAATCTTTATAAAAATTATCAAAAATTATATTATAATATAAAATTACTACTATAATATGGTAACTTGAGCACTATTGTTTGTTTAATCCAATTAGTTCCAGCATTCTTAGAATGAAACAAAGGAATAAACATGACCCATAGAAAAAGGGCACTTTCAAAATGAACACAATGTTAAAACATTTGCCATCACTAGAATGAGACAGAAATTGGAGGACAGTATTTTAAGAAGAATGTTAAAGCCAGCTATAAGAACAGAGCAAAGAACTTGGAGAAATGAATTTGTCCCTGATCAATGCAAAATGAATACCTGGTTGTAACACTTTCTGCAAAAGTGGGAGTTGAATTTTGGTATATGCAGGAAAAATAGACAATGGTAAAACTTGTCATTCATAGATACACACTATTAAAAACCATATTGAAAGAAAGAAAAACAATTCCATGCACAGATTTTCATGCTTTGGCAGAAATATTGTAAATATTGAAGTTCTGCATACAATTTAACAAGTATTGAAACAGAGGCTGGATAGTTCTTTCTCCTTTCTATTGGCCACCATGAGAAGAGCTTGTCATTTGAAGAATGTAAAAGAACTGACTTCACAGAAAAGCATATTCATATTTTAATTAGGGAGTCTAAAAACCCAGGTCTTTTCTTAAACAACCTTTTGTAGCTGGTACAAAATATGCCAGCATTGGTCTTTGCAGAGTATTACAAAAGCTCTCTGCATGCACTCCACTTCACAAATGCAGGCTGACACATCTCCAGAGCCACAGATTACTGTTTTCCTCTAAAAAAATTTCCTGAGGATGAAGTAATTAAGTCCAGCCACTGAACTGCACCAACACTTTCCAGAGAGGCAAGTCAGAGAGAGAAGAATCTGCTGCTTTAGTGGCCCCACTGCAGCCTTGTTTTGTCCTGGTTCCAGGTGGCAGCACAGCCTCCCCAGGCATGCTCTGTGCCCTGCATTGCTGGATGCTTGTAGAGGTGCATGGGGCCTGACACTCCGGACCACTCCTCAGCATCCAGAGATGTTGTGCAAGAGTTTGGAAGAATTCAAAATCAAGGCTAGTAATGAAAGGGTATATACAGTGCAAGTGTGCAGGAGATAATAATTCGGATTCCAAGAACTTCACCACAGGAAGTTGTCCCTGTTGCTGAGTTATAGCCATATTTTTCACGAGTTTCTCATTAGGGCATTCTCTGTAACCATGAGTGAGACTTGACCTTGTCTAGTCTGTAGTAGTTAATGAGATACTCATTTATTGCGTCAGAGTCTATTAAAAAAGAAAAATAAAGTGCTGAAAGTCTAAACTGCAGTGACCTACATAGGGAACACCAGGCACCTACAGTCAGAGTGGATTTATGGCTTCTGACAACAGCTTTCTCCTGGTTGTCAATATGTGGCATATTGTTCCTGAGTACAGCATACAATAATTTACAGTCTTATGGTTCATGCTCTATAAGTGTACTAAGTATTTTTTCCCATTATTGAATAAACTTATTTATTTTGTCTTTTTCCAAGCCACAGCATATATGTACATTCACATCCTGTATTAAAGGACATTTCCTCTTTCTGATGAAAATTACTACTGTATTCTTGCAGCATTATTCTCAACAGATGGAAATAGCAATTCAGTCACACTTAATAGATGCCATTTAAAACAGAATTTAGCATGAGCAGAATTGCTTTTGTTTTAAGCAGATGCTGTTACACGATGCACATGGTGTTCTCCATAGGGTATTCAACACAGTTTTTGAGGATATTATAAAACAAACTGACAGTGATTAATGTTAATAAAACAAGCTACAAAATTACCTGTATGCAATCACTGCATATTTCTTTATTAAACCTGTTGTGCTGTTGGCACAACATTTTTGTTCAGGTCGCTGACACAGGAAGGCTTTTGCACACCATGAACATTTAATTAATGCTATCTAGGTCAGCTCAAAGCCATGTTTTATCTTTGATTGAGATATAAATTGTGAAAGACATAATTCATATCAAGGTCAATTAGAATCTTTTCAGTACGCAGTACATAACATCTTCTAATAACATTAGCATTTAATCTACTTCATAAGTGGCACGAAACTCAGACTTAATTATTCTACTTAATGGTTTAAAGGACCTTAAGATCAGAGGCTACAGCAAAAATCAGAATTATACTTTATATCAATAGCAAATGTCAGGCTGTGTTTGATGCATATCTTTTGGGGTTTTAGTACTTCAATACCAAATTTCTTTAGTATTACCAAAGGCAGATAATTACTCTTCTGTCATTGAATTTGGTTGTTAGGAAAATGAGTCAAGAAACAATTAAAAAAAAAACAAACACAAAAAACCACCAAAACCATAAGAAAACTGCATAATAATGCTAATGGGATAATGATAATGATACTAATGATGATGATGATGATGATGATGATGATGATGATGATGATGATAATAATAGTACCAACATGATAAAGGATTAATTTTTATGCATTGTCTCATTTAACTGGTGTGGAAAACTGTTGAATTATTGTGTTAACACTACTACAATTTCACCAATTTGAAAATTTTGTGTTACATAAGTAAATGGTCCCGTCACCTTAAGCATCAGTTTTAGGTGACATACTCATATGTTGTGTAAACTAGAGATGTGTTGGGTTACTTTCTGCATCCTTTGCTATTGCAATGACCTTAAAGAAGTATAACAGCTTATTCAACATTTCATAACCTTCAAGAATGACTTATTTTAATAATTCTAATAAAAAATAATAATAAAATAGTAATAGTTGGTACTATTTGAATAGATTTCCTTTTTTATTTAAAAGTAGTGTTACTGCTTTCCTGGTTTGGTTTTACACAAATTTATTAAAATCTTCCTGTGTTTGCTTCCTTTGTTGGTCTTTATTTTCAAGGTGACACAGAAGTTTATAAAGAAAGCTGTAAGAGACCTGCATAAATATTTTCTGCTGACATAATGCCAACAAACACAGAATCTCATTGGGGATTTATCAAATATCTTCAAATAAAGTGGAACATTACAAATGGTTAGGATGGTTTGCTTTTGGCCATGCAGCTGAATTGTTTGGGGTTTATTCACTATTTAAAAAGAATAAAATACCTCTAGTAGACATGGACTAATATGTCCTGTGACTATGCTGTAAACTGGGCTATACTGATAAGCTCTAGGAAGGACTAAAAAAAATAAATTCAGCCCAAATAATTTTTGCTCTACATACTGCATTGTCACTCTCTGAATGTCAACACAATTGCTACTACCATATCAGTAATTAACTTATACACTGCTCATCTTTGTTATCTGCTCTCATCCTTATTTTCCATTTATTAGAAATTATTTAATTATTAGAAATTTATTAGTCTCATTTTAGTGGTAAAGGAATCATTCACTGGTAAGTTCAGCTAAGAAAATCTTCCTTTCTTAAAACAAAACTTGAAAGTGCCTCAGAACAATTTATTGTTATTGTATTCCCACCAAATAAACATCATCAAATCATCTTCATGATCATCAGACTTTGGCTAGACAGTAATCCTTAATCCTCTCTAGACATTCAGAGGATGTCTGCTGAACTAAAGGGTTTTCTATTGTCATTTCACATGAGTACATAGTGTGTGGATTTTGTAGCATACCAAGGATATGCACTTATTTTTGAATCATCTTGACCCACTCCGGGGGCAATTATATGCTGCGTTGGAGCTTTCTCATGACTTGAGCATGTTCTGTGATTAAGAGGTTTGTTATGTAAATATTGACTGCTCATCCTGGTTTGATGCTACAGGCACTACATTCATTAGAAACAGAAGGCTGTAGTAAATCAGAAATGGAACAGAAGATTCCTTGAACCTTAGATTCTCAGGCCCAGAATTAAGCATCTGTCAAAGGATTTGGAGTAGGTCAGGGGACATTTTCTGCATGAAGCACTGCAGAATTGATGACAAGAAACCTGCATTCTGTCCTACAAAAAAAGAATGTAGAAACTACTGAAATCACATTTATCTTGCCACAGGGCTGTTTACCGACTTCTGCAGAAGCAGTCAGCTGGGCAGAAAATCATATACTAGTATGTTTTGCTTTAAACTGGATTATATCTGAAGAAATGAAATAGTAAAGCCCAGTATAGAGAAAATGCAGATCGGGGTAAGTCAAGCTGGGGAAGGCAACCTCAAGCCAATTAATTAAAATAAACAGCTTTAATTAAAGCCCTTGAGATCAGTTATGCCAGGTTTCCAATATATTTATTAGATGTATTTATCT